ACACCTCCCTCTGTCCTGGTGCTTTCACTCCAGGTGAGTCTCAGGAACACCTCAATCACTCCAGGTGAGTCCCAGCAACACTTCTCTCTGTCCCAGTGTTGTCCCTCCATGTGAGTCTCAGGGACACCTCTCTCTGTCCCAGTGTTGTCCTTCCAGGTGAGTCCTGCATTTTCCCCTGTTATGGCATGTTTTGCTGCCGTGAGTTTGGAATGACTGAGGGCATAACATGTTCCAAAGGAGTATCAACACAAACGGGAACAGAACATTCCCCTTCATCTTCCCGGGGATCTGCTCTTGGTGTGTTCTTTTGTTTGGCAGGCAGATTATTGCCAGTGTTACAGTGCTGCTGTCTGTGTGGGTTCGTTTAGGAGGAGGCTCCACTCAAGTGGAACACGAGTCACTTCTTGTAACACTATCGGGTTTTTACTTCAGCAATAAAACACCCAGCTGTCCTCATTTCTTGGTCTGCATCTCATAATTAACAAGTCATTTAAAAGCTTTGTGTACTCAGGCTGGAGAAATCCTCCCTGGAGTAGTCCAGGAAACTGTTGAGACAATTTCTGAGATGATTTCTGAGAATTCAAGGGTGGGTAAGATAGACAATGAAAGGGAAAAGGAATATTTGCCCTTAAAACAAGAGGAGGAGAAGAACCTGGGATGCTTAGAGACTCATGAGCAGCTGTTTTTGTAGCAGGAAAGATCCCAATATGTTTGTTGATTTAGAAATTAGTTTTTAAGCATCGGCAGGATAAGGTGGTGAGCAAAAGTCAGTGCAGGCTCCTCAGAGAAACAGTCATGCCAGAGTGTTGGAGGAGAGAATTGTTCTGGATCTAGTTACTGCTCAGTATTTCTTTAATGAGTTCAGGCTGCAGTTTGGTGGTGCTTTTGCTGTCGGTGTCTGATTTGGATCAGTTCCTGATCCAGTTCCTGATCCATGTGCCAGGCATGCCCTAGCACAGGGAGGAAGCAGGAACAGAAAAGCAGTGACATTAATTCTGTCACAGCAGTGTCTGTGTCTGCTGGTTATCACTGAGCCAGGATCTTGGATTACGATGAGGAATACGCTGGTGCCAGTCTGGGAGGGGTTGGGAGCACCCTGGGAACACCACTGAACTCCCTATTCTTAGTAAGAATAAGACATATTTTAAAAAAGTGAGTCTAATGCATCAATACAAAATCCATAGTAACCTCCTTGTCACTTGTCAGACAACACTGAGGTCTGTAATCAGGTCATAAGGAGAATAATATTAGCAAAGGGATGTTACAAAGAAAGAGGCTCCTAATACATTGTAATATGTTAATAGTTGTAATATATTAATAGTTGCAGTATATTGATAATTGTAATGTTAGTAGTTGTAATAGGAATTGCATGTGAAACTTGGGCCTTTGTTATCCTCTCTTCAGGGCTGTTGAGGTTTCAGTTCTGAGCTGCTGTAAAACAAATAATATGCCTGATGGGAACTTAGAAAAGAGCAAAAGTAGTAAAGAGCTTAAAAATCTCGTGTTTCTGTGAAAGGGTGATGAGCTGGGTTTGCTCATTCTGCAAAATACCTGAGCAACAGTGTTTGCACGTGTAGGGAGATGGTGGTTCATTTCCAGGTGCAAGTTAGGCTTTTCCTCACCTTTCTGGATGTGCTTTGGTTGAAGGCCATGGAACTGGAACAGCTCACCCAGAGAGTTGTGTTGGAATTCTTCCGGTGGGACTGTGGGGGCAAACTTTTCCCTCGGAGTAGAGGATGGGGCAGGGAGTCCTTCCAGCTCCCTCCACTTCTGGGGGTGTGGTTAACAAAAACATCTGATGGGAAGACACAGAATTTCTGGATTTGTACAAGAACAGGCTTTTATGGTCCTGTCCCATCCTACCCTCCACTCCATGTGGGATATGTGAGCTCCAAGGCAACGACAGCCCTGGATTTTGGGATCAGAGGGTGCTGGGGTTTTACACATCATTTGGTGCTGCTCATCCCCTCGCGTTGTAGCTGCACTGCAGTTACAAAGTACAGGCCCTGATTACAAGCCATTCTCACAATTTCCTGTCCTTGTATCTCCCATCTTTTATGTGCACATGTTCCCATTCCCTTCACATTCTCTGCTGTTGGATTTTGCGGCCTCTCTTCTGGAATCTCTCGGATTGCTCCAAGCAGAGCTGGTGCCAGCTGTGCTTTGCTCTGCCAAAGGGAGCACATGCTCCCAACATGCAGCTTGCAGGCCGAAGGAACACGTGTGTGTGGAGGGAGCCTGTCAAGCACAGGGATTTCAGCCTCAGAGTGGAGAATATTCCCTTCCTGGGGGTTGGTTTGGGCTGGTTTGCTGGAGGTTGGGTTGTACTGGCAAGGGAAGGATGCAGAGCAGAGCCCTCATCATCCCTCTCCCTCGTGTTCCTGGTAGGTGGAGCTCCACAAGCTGCTTATCAAGACTGTTTATTAAATTTTAAAGGAAGTTTTAATCTAGAGGGAAGGAGATTTCTTGGTGTCTTGTTAATGAAGCAATAGATGTGAAGGGACTTTGGTTCTTCGTGTTCTGACCAATTTTGCCTTAGAGAATCATGTAAAAATTGTACATGCTTTGCTCTCTTTCTCATTCCTTCTACTGTTCTCACAGCTCTTTCTCACCAAATTCATTGCAAGATGGGTGAAAAAAAGATCAACAGCTAAACATCCATGTGCCCAGTATTAAAACCTACAGGATATTTTTTTTTTTGTATTTACAGTTGCATATTTCTTAGAAACTAATTGTTGGTAAAGATCTACATCACTGGCTTGTAGTGCCTAATTGTGATGTATTTATGTGTCTTAGAGTTTCTGCCATCAGCCTCAGCCCAGGAGGGGACAGAAGAAGTTAGTGCTTCCTTCACTCCAGTGTCGTGGGTGTGTGTTGTAGAGGAGTTCTGGTTTTGCTGTTTGGTTGGTGTTTTGGTTTGATTGGTTGGTTTAATTCTTAAGACTTTCATGTCTCACCTTGGTGGTGGAGGAATCTTTTTCATGCTGGTGAACTTTAATTAAGGTTCTGCTGTTGTCAAGTCTGTGGAAGTTGGTGAGAAGGGGTAGCTTTGAAACAGGAAACAGAACAGCAACCAAATGACCACAAGTCCTCAAACAAAAAGTTATATTTAATTTCATATTTTATTTGGCAAATAAATGATCTTTGCTGGCGTAAATCCTAAAATTAATGGGGCACAGGATACCCTTTGAGATTAGCCTTTCTGTCACCCCAGGAGCTCAGGAGATGGGGCAGGGCAGAAACTCTGAGGCTGTTCCACGTGGGTACAGAACGTTCTGTGGTGTCTGGCTGCCCACAAATACCATGTACACCATGAGCAGCAGTGCTTACACATCACACTTCCCACGTCTGCCATAGATTGGGCCCATTATGGGATCTTTATGGGCACATTACGCTATCTTTCACTTTTCTTGCTCTCTTTGAACAGGGTTATTTGTTTTTAATGGGTTCCGGAACACGTAGTCCCAGCTGTGTTAGTAAGCTAAAGAGTCTCTCCCATCCACCAAGACTCGCTGGGTGGGAGGGAACAACGTGCTCAGGATGTACAATATTGGTACCAGCAGCCATTTAAAAGCAGATCATTTCAATTTGTGCCCTCTAGATAAGTGTGGTAGAGTGGCAGAGCCCTTTTCAGTGTCCTCTTCACACCCACCTTGTGAATTCTTCTGGGGATGATGTTCCCAAGTTGCTCCACTGAGGGTTTCAGCACTTGGCTATAGAATTTCTAATGTTTGTGTCACTGGGATGTGAGGCTCCTGCTCTGGGAGTTTTCTGAGTGGCTGTGAGGTGCTTTGGAAATGTCAGAAAATCCTGGAACAGTTTGGGTTGGAAGGGACCTCAAAGCCCATCCAGTGCCACCCCCTACCATGGGCAGGGACACCTTCCACCAACCCAGGTTGCTCCAAGCCCTGTCCAACCTGGCCTTGGACACTTCCAGGGATGGGGGAGCCACAGCTTCTCTGGGCAACCTGTGCCAGCCTGTGTCCTCCCAACAGTGAAATGTTACCTGTTAATTTGGGAAAAGGAGCTCCCAGACAGCAAAGGCAGCTGCCAAATTACCCTTTGTCTGGTGTGTTTTGTCCTGTGATGCTTTGTGGTTCCCTTCCAGCTGGAAGGTGCTGTGGCACATCCCGGGAGAGCTGGGGAGCCCCGGGAAGGTCTGCCCGGGCTGGGGACACATGTTGTGTGTTTGCAGGGCTCGGGTGAGGGGGAGCAGCTCCCAGCAGGGCACTCCAGCCTTTTATGATTCATTAGTCTGATTTCCTCACAGGCAGGAAAAAATCCAAGCTACCTGAAATCTGAGTGTTATTTCCTGCCGTGACAAACTGATTATTTCAGGGCATGTTTTGAATGAAGCCACGTTCTGGTTTCACTCCAAGCCTGTTTCTACACTGTTCATATGTATTCAGAGCAAGCACTGGGATTTGTTTTTTGCAACTGTGATTTTATGGAAGTGGAGCTAATAATTCTATTTGTAGCGTGGCCCAGCAGTACCAGCTGGATTGATTTTTGGGTAGATGCTGACTGAAAACTTGGCTCAAAATACACTTTTTTCTTTTAAAAGAAGTGAAGTTAATACTGGGACTCTTAAGAATCTTTCTTTGAGTAGAGCAAATATCAGTTTCAATCAGATAACTCTTCCAGCAGAAGACTCCTAGGAAATCAGTGGTGTGGTTTGAGTCATGATTTCTTTTTGTGTAACAGAGATTGGCTGGTTTGGCAGGAGAGGGACATCAAAGTGGTGTGGGAGAGGAGGAGTGAAACAAAAAAGAAAGTAAATTTGGATAATAAGGGAGAATAAAACAACATACAGAAATAATTTAAGAGCACTCAGCTGCAGCATAATGATTTTTTTTTTTCTTGAGTTTTATGGATTCAGCTACAAGTTTAGTTTGGACAGAGTTTTTTGTTATTTGGCCAGTCCTTGCTGGAGCAATGTCAGTCCTACCAGATCCACCAAGGAGCAAGGAACACTGGGTGTTGCCAGGACTTTCTTCACCAAAAGGGCTGTCCAGCCCTGGCACAGCTGCCCACAAAGTGGTGGAGTCCCCAGCCCTGCAGGGTTCCAAAAAGGTGTGGATGTGGCACTTGGGGGACATGGTCACTGGTGGCCTGGGCAGTGCTGGGGGATGGTTGGAATCGATGCTCTGAGAGGGCTTTTCCACCCCAAACCATTCTGAGATCCACATGCTGGATGCTGTAATCCCAAAGTCCTGCTAGAGAGAAAGGAGCTCATTTTTCTTTGAACACGAACTCAGCCCTTCACTGGGGTGATTCCTGTGGGTGGATCTGCAATATCAGAGCAGAAGAAGGGGTGCATGGGCTGACACACCCTGGAGCTGCTTGGTCAACTTGAAATGGTATCAGTTCCTGTCTCCTCACTCAAAAGGCTAAAAATGGTCCAGACCACCAATTTTTTTCCTTTTTTCCCTTATAACTTACACTCTACAGATGGAACGGAGTCAGACAGATGTAATATGAGTGATTATCCCTCTTGGCTCAGCTTTCCATTGGTCTTGGTATCTAAAGAAATCTTTGTAGCCATGGAATAATATCAGTGCTTCTAAACCCAAGTGCAGATGCTTTAAAGCATCTGGTGTAATGTGTGTCACAACTGTGGCTCAAAATCCTGAGGATAAATATCTTCCTACTTCAAGCACTTTGTCCTCAGTGAGTTTGTTTGTTTAATTCCTCATTAATTTTTTTCTCTTCACTGCTTCTCCTCACTACTCAGGAAATACAAGAGCTCCTACTCAGAGCTCTGATAGTTTCCTTTTCTATTCATTCCAAAGTGTTTTTCCCCTGATTTTTTTTTTTTTTTTCTGCTTTGAGTTAAGAAGACCACTGTGTTTTGATCAAATGGAAACAGTGAAATATGGAATCTGAAAACATAAATCACTGGGTATTTAGCACACATTCTTGGTAGTTACTCAGCAATCAAATTATTCCAGAAAAGGTTGTTTGTAAGTGTAAGAACTAAGGAAAATTTGTTTCCTACAGATTTGTGTGTATTGCAGTGCTTGCAGGGTAATTATGAACGTACAGAGCAAGGTCCTGATTAAGGTAGAATTTCCTTTTCTGTTATTTTTTGACTATGTAGCAAATACTTGAAAAATGCAACCTGCTCTGGAATCCTTCCAGGTTTTTACTTCACCTGAGGAATGGGTGTGAAGTAGGACAGGACCCACTTCCAGCTGAGCCCAGAGAGATAATATTTGTTTGTTCCATGACTTCATTTATTTTGAAGTTCAATAACAAAAAATGTAAAAATTAGGAAGGTTTAGTGCTTGCACAGAGCATTTGCAGGTCAGGCCCCCGATGATTTTGAGTTGTTTTCAGTCCCAGAACCCAGTGAAATTCCAAGCACTGTTTATTTGCAGGGCAGCACAAGAGCACCATGTTCTCTCTGGGATAAGAAACCCCTCCTGTGCTCCCTAAAGCAGCTCATTTTGTCCTTTTTCAATATAGTAATTTCAGTGCTTTGGAACTTTATGGTAGTTATCCTGAATAACAGTTTCATATTTCCAAGCACAGTTTGCAGCTGCCAGGAAAAATAAACTTGCATTTTCGACTCCTTCAGAGCAACTGTAACCAGGGGTGTTTTAAACTGGGGCAACACTTAAGAAATGGGAAAATAAAGCTTGGCCAGGGCATCCTGAAATACCATTTTTATCAAGCTATATTTAAAGTGCTAAAGATTGTTGAATCATGGGATAATGAGCCTTTAATTTATAATTTTCGAAAGCTGCTTTCTTTCCTCTAAGTCTGATTTCTTTCCATTTATCCCAGTGCTTCAAAATATCTCTATTTTTCTTCTTCTGTAAAACAAGGGATTCTTAATTTGACTTCAACTGTTTGCAGTTTTTCACCTTTCTGATTTTGAGAATTCACTGTTGAAATCCCTATAGCAGTTGGCAATTATTCAAGAAAAAATAACTGAAGAAAGGTTGAAGTGTGTTTGAGTCTCTCAGACATACAGTGGCTCTTCCAGCTGCCACCCATGGTCCATCTTCCATATCTCCAAGTTTGCCAAGAGCTTTTCCTACCCTTGCTCTGAGGGGTCTCTCGGCTGTGTCTGAGTGTCCTCTGACCTAGTCTTGATTCTCACCATCTCCTTCCTCTCCAGTGAATTTATGCTGAATTTATCCCCCAGCCAGGGGCAATCCTGTCGGGTTCAGGGCTCTGTGCTGGTGAGCAGGGGCTACGTGTCCCCTGCTTCAGGATGAATGATCCCTCAGAAAAATCACATTTCTTAGTTAATAAAGGGTCTTTCCATGAGCTATGTGTTACATACTCTGTAGTTTGTAATCAGCCATGAATGTTTCATACCTACAAATGGGTTCTGTTTTCCACAGCACTGCAGTGCCATGGACACTACCTCATCCTCATTAATCCCTTACTCACTGCAATTATTTGTGTACAGATTGCTGGCTTACATCACTTTGTTCGCTCCCCACTTCTCTTGCCTGCTTCACTCGGACACCAGTTGCCAGAAAACCACAGGAAATAACATTTTTCTGGCTCAAGCGATCACGGATTCATTAAGGAGATAACTTTGTTAAACACAGAGTTTTATTTTCAATTAATACACCAAACATAGCTCAGAGGTACTTTAGAATTCCGTTGGGAGTTCCCACATATTAAATTGCCAGGCTTGATACATCCTGTGAAGTTTCCAGTAAGGCAAAGCACTGCTGTAGCTTGGGTTCATTTCCTAATGCAGAATTTTTCTTTATTATTTGTTAAAGCAATAACATCATCTGATCATAAATGCTCTAGAGAATGAAATGGTTTAAATGACTCAGATTTACTATTGTTACTTAGTGTCAGTCGGGGTTTTTTTGTTCAGTGTGTTCCTCACAAACAGTTTTACCATTTCCTGTCTTTCCAGATGTCCCGGGACGAGACGGTTTGTAAATACTGTGGGGTCAGCTACCTGATCCTCCACGAGTTTAAGGTGATGGAGGAGAAAGTCAAAGCAATGGAAAAGGAGATAAAGTTTTATGAAGGAAGCATCGAACGGGAGCAGAGGCTCCAGGCTGAATTACAGGCCCTGTACCGAGACCTGGAGCGCTACCGAGCTGCCAGTGAGTCCAAAAGTGAAAGGTCAGAGCTCATCATCTTCTCTGCTGACATTCCCCTGCAGCTTATTAGGGACTTTCATCCCAAAGAAGTTTAAAACACAGATAACAGAATCACAGACTCTGCTGGGTTGGAACAGACCCACGAGGATCATTCGAGTCTTTTATCAGATGCATCATCTATGATACTTGATGATATGATATGATACTGGGATACTTTATTGAAATCATCTTTCACAGTATTCCTTGGAAGCAAGTTTAGAATTCCTTCCTAGTTCAGAAACAGTCCATACATTTAAAGTGAGAGAGAGGCCAAGAAGGCACTTGGAGGTATTTCCCCTCCACACACTTCCAAATAGATATTGGAAATATTTCACCTTATCATCTTGTAATCAAATTGTAATATTTGAAATGAAATGGCACAGTACCGAGAGTTTCACAGTTGTGAGGGTTCGACTGATTGTCTCATAGTAACCTGGGAAAGAATTCCCAGTGTTGTTGCCCTCAGAAGCTCAGGCTTCCCTCTCTGAAGGGCTGATACTAAAGGAATGATGAACATTTTGGGTCCTGCTTGTGGCATTGTTCTCCAGGAGCAGGAGTCTCTTGCAGACAGATACGTGAAGGTTCCAGTTAATTCCCTTAAGAACTCCAGTAATGAATGACAGACCTCAGAGCCATGTTGGGATTTTCAGGGCACAGTGATTAGAACATGTGTGTTCTTTCAGCTCATGCTTACAGGTTTTGTATCCTTTTCTGTCCTCATATTTTGGAATCTACCATTATATTCCACTAATTGATTGCAGTAGGACTATAAACAATATTTATAGTTCACTAATAAAAGATACTTCATAAAAATGCAGCTGCCCGAGTTGACAACTAATAGAATAAAGAGAGACATCAAGGCCACCAGAAACTTCTTGGTAATTTCTTACTCATCTAAATCAAACTGTTTGTCAGAAGCTTTTTTAAGAGTGAAATTGTAACTTTAATTACCAGCTCAGCCATTTTGATTTTTGGGCCCCCCAGTGGGGGTGTTCCTTCCATGTTTGCTCACATCAAGTGATCCAGAACAGGTAACGTGGGCATTTTGAGTGTTAAGGTGCTCCAGAGATTGGACTGGAATGCTTTGGAAACCTGCTTTTTTTGTTTTTCAGAATCACTCAAATACTGTTAAGAATTTAATTTAATGTTTCTATTAAGGGATTTAGTTAGGCTCGTGTTTGCTAATATTACTAATAACACATTGATTTTAGAGCACAAGCTCCCACAAATTTCAACAAAACGTATTTATGTTGTAGATCACTCTGCTCATAATGTTTCTTGCAATATTTTTTTCCTTTAAACTGAACATCCTCCACCCACCCCCCTTCCCAATATTCAACGTTTTCTTTGGTTTAACGTCATGTTTTTAAAGAGCTGTTTGCTCCTTGTCCCTTTAACGACCCTGGGTGGCAGAATTCAGTGTGAGCAAATGCAGTGACAGCACATTCTTCTTGGGGAGGATCATTTGCCAGAGCTAAACTTGAAATTTTCATTGAGCTGTCTCTTTGTAGTAAAGCTGGAACAGTTAATAAAAATTTTTATCTCTGCACTTTCCCCCCCCTGAGGCTTGACTTGATTTAAAAGCTGCTGAAATCAAGTGCAATACTTGCAGTAGGCTCCCACTCCAGCCATAAATCAACTGTTGTGCCTTGTTAAATAACTTGTCTAAATATTCCTTATCTTCTCTTCACTATTCTGGGCCTCTCTCACTACCTTGTGCTGTTGGCATAAAGTCACTATTCACCATCCTCATTTCTGGGTCTGGCAAGGCTGACAAATTATTCCTCCCAGAAGCCAAATATCCCCTTTTTTAAATTTTATCTCTGGGAGACCAATGGATTTAATCTTTCTTGTCAGTTCAGACTGTTTCATTTTTATATTCCTTTTAGGTTCAAGTTTTGCTGTTGTTTGTACCCGTGGTTACCCTTGAAAGCCCCCTGGGAACGGGAGCTTTGGCAGAGATTGGTTACCTGCTCTTTGGGATTTGGGGACAAGAAGGGGAACTAACCAGTGGTTAGTTCCACTTAGCTATTCAAGCCTTATTCCATGTTAAAATCAGTTTAATTTTGAGAGTTAATTTAGTTTTGGTAATTCTTGCCACATCCAATATAAGAAATGTAAAATACATTTAAATGCTAAAGATGTCCTCAGGTACCACATCCACAAGTTTTCTGAACACCTCCAGGGATGGAGACTCCCTGGGCATCATCTGGAATGAAAATGAGCAGCTGTTGGGTCTGAGCAGATCCTGCAGTTTCAGGGAGCTGAAAATACCGTGGTGGAACTTTTTTGGGGCAGGATGTTCCAGGCTCTCTGAGCCTCCTGTCCCTGCTGGCTCCAGGCAACTGGGGATGCTGGTGCTCCTCCAGGGAGTCACAGGGAGTACCAAGATGATTTATTCTGACCTGGACTTGTGAGAGACGCCCTAAATCCCAACACACAGGGTAATTGCTGCTGTCATTGCTGTAGGACAATGACTGTGTTTGCAACTCCTTCTTGATTTTCTCCTCCATTCTTCTGTCAGCACTGGGAGTTACCACGTCCTGATTCCCCTCCCTCCCTGGGCAGGATCCCTCCTGTATTCCCCAGGAAAGCAGGGCTGCAGAGATGGGCTGTTAATTCTGCTGGCTGAACTGAAGGGCAGAGGATGAGCTCAGTGTGTTCCCACCATTCTCTCAATGCCAGCAGTTAATGATCCATGGAACTTTTCCTTTGTGCTAAAAAGCACCAAAATAACATGTTTGTTTTGCTCCCTCCTGGTGCCAGGAGAGTGCAACTGTCCTGCCTTTTCCACGGGTGCTTTTTGTGTGGGACTGACCAGAACATGCTGAAAATGTCGCTTTTATTATATCAGAGCTCTGCGATGGAAAGAGGAAGAAAATGCGTCTCTGATTATTTACCAGTTTCTTTCTTAAACCGAAAGATCTTCACATATCCCATTCTAGACTAAGAATGGAAAATGAGCATCCGGTTTTCCCTGGATCCCAGAGTTTTGGTTTGTTATTGTTCAGTGCTAAATCACTGCTTTTTTCCTCATCTGCAAAAGTAGGTTTGAATTTCTGTAGCTGTAACGGGGGATGGACATTTCCTTGTTAGTGGAACAGTTCTGCTCCCAAACGCAATCAAACAGATTGATTCTCTCCCCTCCTGCCTCCACTTCTGGGGAAATTTTCCTAAAAAGGTAATATCAGAAATTTCTTCAAATTTTTAATTATTTATGGAGGGGTTTTTTTTTCCAGTGATTATATTTCAGCCCAAAAACTTGCTTTCGAACTCCCAGAAGTTCAGTTCTGATTTTGTCAGAGCCCTGCAGATCCAAGTTTCTTTATCAGGACTCATATTTCTTAAAATTTGTGTTTTGGTGCAAATGTGCTCATCTGTGTGTAACAGTAACTAAAGCACTTTGATGCTTTGTCTTAATTTTAATATATTTTTATTATAAATAATTTTCATTTTCTGCTGCTTTTTACAATTGAAGACAAGGCTTCTGCCACCCTTTGGGTTTGTAAAATATTTGTTGATTCAAATACTATTTATTTACTTGTGACAGTGAGTCACCAGCAGGGAAACGGATCATTTACTCTGCATGAACAGTGAGCGTTGAAAGCTTCGAAAGGGGCTGGTTTGCAGCAGCTCGGGTCGCTGGAGTTGTATTTTGGGGATGGAAGGCTGTTTGAGGATGGTTTCCTGCAGCCAACAGCTGTACTGCAGCTGGGGCTGAGCTGCTGTGGGGGATCCTTCCTTCACGGGTACCACGGGAGGGGAATTGGCTCCAACTCTTATTCCTGGGCACTTCCATTCATTCCATGACAATTGTGGGAATAATTCCCGAGGTGTTGAAAGAACAGTGTTTAAACTGTGTTTGTTTACACTGTGATAGCTGGGCTTGGCAAACAAAAGGTGCTGTAATGAGAAAGTTCAGAGGTAAATGTTGGAGGTGAAGAACAGCTCGAGGTCGATGTTTGGGGCTGTGTTTGCTGTGGCTGATCCAGCACGGAGCTGGGGGAGGGATGGAGAGCTCCCCGTGCTTCCCAGGGGACACCACCCTCCTCCTCCTCTCCTGTGAGCAGTGAGGGGGGTGAAAGAAACGCTGGTTGGGTGTCCTGTGTCTTGTCATGGGGCGGCTTTTCAAAAGGTGTGTAAAAAAAATTGCAAATCACGGAATGGTTTGGATTGGAGGGGACCTGCACAGGCCACCTTTTAGTAGGAGGGAGGGTACACGGTGTACTGCTGAGTCCAAATAACAGCAAGCTTGTCCTTCCCCCGGTTTTAAGATCTTTTTTGGTGTCAGCTTTGAAGTAAAATGCTCAAAATTATCACCTGCATTGTCATTTAAGAACCCATCAGGTGCTGCTGTGAAGCTCTTTTGAAGATCCAGGAGAAGGAAGCATGAAAACAGTTCCGTGGTCAGGGGTGTGAAAACAAGGGCAAATTCTCCCCATTTGGACACTGATAGTTGTGTGAAATATGTGATTATCACCTTTGAAAAGCTGTGGCTGCCCCACCCCTGGGAGTGTCCAAGGCCAGGTTGGAGCAAGCTGGGCTGGTGGAAGGTGTCCCTGCCCATGGCAGGGGGTGGCACTGGGTGGGCTTTGAGGTCCCTTCCAACCCAAACCAGTCTGGGATTCAATTCCATTTAATTTAAAGCTGAAACAAAAGTTATAGGTTGTTCACCAGTGCAAATAAGACTTTCTGTTTATTTTATTTGCATCTCTAGAATAAAAAGCCTGACAATGGAACTGAAAACCAAGCAAGAGGAGTTTAAAAATGTGAAAGCTGATTTGCAGTATTTCCAGGAGGAGAAGGAATCGGCCTACAAACAATCCCAGGTGCTCAGGTAAGAACCCAAAAACAAATGCTGGTGTTGGAAATGCTCTGTTTCTTACTTATATATTGTTTATAAAGACCTACCATAGGCTTGGCCATAGTCATTTAAATATGATTACTGTGATTTCTCAATAAAAAAATGATTGTACAATTGCCTGTCTAGTTTTCTTCATTTATACATAAAAGCTCTAAATCAACATTTAGAAGGGAGAAACTTATAAATATATTCAATGCCTAATACAACATATTTCATATAGTAATGTAGTATAAATTATCGTATCACAGAAGAGTAGTTGTCAAGTTTCCTCTAAGTCCTAAGTTTATTATATAAAATATTTTTGAAATACACCTCTGGTACTGTTTTCTCTCTTGCAGAAGTACCTTGGAACACCATTGCTCAACTCTGAACAAGGCTGTCTCCCTGTTCCCTTTCATCAGAAGTGAGCTGGACAGCATTAAAGAGGTCATCTCCACTAACCTGGAGAACTGGGCTGCCATGAAAGAGGAAATTTCTCTGCAGATAAAAACTGTGAGCAAAGAAGCTCTGACAGGTAAAGCATCTTACAAGAATTTGGGGCAGGAGAGAATAATTTTTGGTAGTTGAGTGTCAATGAGAAGGTAAAAATTAATTAGGTGAAGAACTTACATCACTTATATTTTCATTCATCTTGACAACAGTCAAGTTAGACCAAGCCCAACTCCACTGTCAAGGCAGTTGGTTCATGTTTTATATGCAAATTTTAAACACTTTCTGTGGTGCAAATATTTTCATTATCTATAATCTTTCCCAACTACTCTACACTTAAATCCATTTACTGTGAGACTAAATGTAAATGTAAATACCAAAAGATTTGATATCTTATATTGTTTCCTACTTGCCATTCATTAACCAAGGCTAATTAAAGTACATATATAAGGGCTTTTAGAAGCTGTTTTCAAACTAACCAAGCAAAACTGGTCAAAAGAGCAGCCCCTCTGTAGCATTTTTTGTCTCAATGTTCTGAAAAGCTTGTTGCAAAAACAGTAAAATAAACCAAAAAATTACTGTATGTTAATATCTTATCATATGTTAATCGTGAACAACTGATACAACAGAACGTAAAAGCTTTTAAATGGCATTCACAGGCCAAAAAAAAATATGTGGGACTAAACTGTTTTGATTTAGAAAGCTGGATTTAAGGATGGGTATAAAATTCACAGTCACAATATTCACCAGGCTCAAGTGGGATATGTTGGATGAGGGATGTGTAAGAAAGGCTCCACTCCTGCTTCCATACAGAAACTCTGTGTATTTGGAGTATTACACAAATAAAGCAGGGAATACTCCAGAAAAGAAGCCTGGAAATGTGTGGATCCCTTTGAGCCTGCAGATGTCTGCAGGAACACGTTCACATTCCCTTTATTAGCAGAAGTAGGCAGGGAATGAGCACAGGAAGAGAGGGATCCTCAGGACACACCATCCTTCCTGTGCTCAGAGGAGGTGACTCATGAATCCCAACATACTGACACTGATACACTGATTGTTCTTACAAACTGTGAGTACTAAGGAGGGGGTTTCTGGTCACTCTCATCTCCAGCAGGGAAGAGCCCCTGATTTGGGGCTCAGGACCCCCCAACTCTCCCCTGGGGGCTCAGGACCCCCCAGCTCTGCCTGTGCTGCTCAGTGGGTTCGTGCCTGCTCCCCCCAGGGACAGCTGCCCCCTGATTCCTTCCCAGTGGGAACAAAGCCGTCATTGAAAACATCCCAATTCCCTGCCAGTGTCACAGGAAGCACAGGCTGCTGGGCAGCTGGCATGGCAGAGAAAGCCCCATTTTCTCAGCTGCTCCACACACGCAGGTTTCACTCAAGCTGTGGCTTTGCACTGGAGTTCTCAGGGGCAGAGCGGTGTGGGAGAGGCACATCACCCACCCTGCCCCTACCTCCCCTCTCCCAAGGATGGGAAGCATGATGGAAAGGATGACAGCAGCTCACCTGCTTCTTTGGACCTTAGAACCCTGATCAAACTGACCCCCAGAGCTCAAGGAGTTTGGAGAAGGCTCTCAGGCACATGGTGGGGTTGTTGGGGTGTCCTGTGCAGGGCCAGCAGTTGGACTTGTCCTTGTAGGTCCCTTCCAGCTCAGGATATTCTGTAATTCTGTGACACAGCAGCTTGTCCTCTCACACACACTGAGAAACTGGAAGGGAAGGAATTCACCTGTAAGTATTATTTCCCCAGGCCTCTAAAGCTGTAGCAGTCAGCACAGGGCCTGTTTGGGTGCTCTGGGTGTTCCAGTCCCTAATCACACTACCACAGACTCTTTTCAGCAAACCTA